GACAACACAGCAGACAGTAGCAGGGATATCAGAGTATAAGAGCTCTTGTTGGGGGAGGGAGGCTATGGGAGGGTGCTATCTGGGAAGTGGGTGTATAGTCAAATGAGATGGTTTGGGATGTTCTGTGTGATATACACACACAAAAAAAAATCAACAAATTTTTAAAGAATGTTTTATATTTGAGGAGGAAGCATGGAAATTTATGTCATGCTAATTAGTAGAGATGATAAACATTACCACTGAAATCTACCCGATGACTTTATAGACATACACAGGCACCAAGGGTCCAAGTGCAACTGATTGTGACTAGTAATAATCAGATAAATACAGATTAGAGATGCAAGTACCAACATCTCAGTGTTAATAGTAAAAACAATGGGTCTTTCTGCAAGAAACAATATATTCTAAAATGAAATGCTGATCATTTTTAAAGGTTCAAAACTCATCCAATTTTATGTCTTACAGGGCTTATACTGAGTTCAATAATATATAACTATATTAATTCAACTGTGAACCTAGAAACTTGCACCCACTTGTGAAAGAGATGTACTCTTGCTCTGAAGTGTGTTACTGAATATGTTAAAGCTGTAGTGAAAAACTTCTAATCATGTAGTTATTAAAAATTTTAAAAATAATGGACATTGCATGACATGGGTGCACCTGCCTACATACAGGCAATACACTCATAAACATAAAATAAAAATAATAAATACAATATTTTGAAAAAAGATCCAGGTATTTGGCTCCACAGTCTATGATATTAATGGCCATGTCAGGCTCTCCTTGCAGGTACTGCCCATAAGAGATTGTTCTGCTTCTGTTGGGAACCCTCTTATTTTCCTTAAAAAATCCATACACTGGGAATTATTATGTTATTATTCATTTATGTTTTAAATCTTTTTATTTAAATTAATTTTATATTTATACCAAAGTTGCAAAAATAGTATACATCTAAGACCTATCATCTTTTTTTATTATTCAGCTTTTCATTTTATTTTTTTAATTATTTATTTAATAACCACATACTTAGAAGAAGAATTTCATCACATCAGCATTGACATATTCAATACCAATTTGCTGAGCTAGGATGCATCCATCTCTTTCAAAATTGGCTGTAAATTTTTAGATTTACAGTTGAATTATTACGGTTATACAATATTGTACTCAGTATAAAACCTATAAGACATAAAATTAAATGAGGTTTTAACCTTTAAACAAGATCTCTGTTTCATTATTAAAATACAGAGTTTCATGCAGAAAACTTCATTTTTAATGCAATTGACATTAAGATGTTTGCACATGCGTTTCTAATCTATATATCAGATTATTACTAGTCACAGTCAGTTACTTTCTGAGCTCCCTGGCATCTGAGCGTGGATATAAAGTCATCAGGTAGATTTCAATGATAATGTTTTTCACATCTACTAATTATTAAGGAGCAAATTTTTATGCTCCTTCTGGAGGTCAGAAGAGGGCATCATATCCCCTGGAACTAGATAGGACAGTTGTGAGCCACCATGTGGGTTCTCAGAACTGAATCCAGGTCCTCTGCAAGAGCAGCCAGTGCTCTTAACTGCTGAGCCATCTCTCTAGCCCCTCATACCTGGATCTTTTTCTAGCTGTGTGACTCTGTACAATTTACCTGAATCCTTTGTACTTCAGTATCTCATTGTAAAGGGAAATAAAAATTATAAATACATCTGTAGACACTTCTATGTCTGTAGTGAAAACAAATAGAGTTAGAATAGTGGCTGACACAGAGTGTTAAGTGTCAAACTGTAACAGATATTCAGTAAATAACAATCATAGTAATAGAAACTAGTGTTGAGGTTCCCTATATTAGACATTTTCATTCCACTGGAAACTTGCATTCTAATGGAGGGACTTACCTGTGCAGAGCAGAGGCAGTGTGTGTTACACTAGAATATAGTCAGTATGCTCTCAGATGTAGAAAAGAAAGAAGGCTCTGTAAGCCTTTGTCCAGCAATCGCTAATGGCAATGCCACAGTGACAGAGAGGGCTTATACTATGTACCCTCCTCAGTGCTGAAGCGCTTTACCTGACTTAGGCATGACATGATCAGAGCAGAGAGTCCTAACATCAAATGCCTAACTTTCAAAGTTTCAGCAGTGAAACTTTGGAGTTGTGCACCAAATTTTGTTTAATGGCATACTTTTGTGTGGCTTTTGTACAAACATCATAACTTGCATCACACTCTTGAAAGAATCCAACAATTCAAAATTCGTAAACTCATTAGCCTCACCCTACAAATGCACATACTCAGAAAAAGAGTATCACACTTGGGGTTCACAGATCTGTATTTAAATACAATGCTGGTATGTACTGTTATGGATAGGACGTGAATATCCGCTTCAGATACCTACCTCTGAATTTATTTTGAATTTTGTGAGAGCTAGTGTACTTGGCAAGCAAGTGATGGTAAACTGAATTATGACAATAGTGATGATAATGACTGTTTCTCACAGATGAAAAGAAGCTCAGGGTAGTTATCCCAGGGTAAGCAGCAGATGTCAGTCTATGATGACTGCCTACCTTCTCATGGAAGGGAGTGTTTGGGATAGCAAGAACACTGGACCTGAGACTAGAGATAAACCACAGCAGTACTGCCTGGCTTAATTTACTCACAGGTGTTACAAGGATAAAAACAGATTGCAGAGATGTCAATATGTTTTTTTA